TATGCTCCATTCTGCTCAAGTGATTACAGTTTTACTGTAAATTATACTACATATATACAATACGTACTGCCCTTGAAGAGCATTCAGAAGCATCCTGGTATAGAAAGTGGCAGCATGGGTAGTTAATAATATATTTTATTTGGCACATATAAACACCATGTGTGGGAATGACCATGGGAGACAGTGGGAAGAGTTGCAACCAGGGCAATAGTCAAATATGAGATCAATTTAACTACAGAAGAAATGTGAGCATGGCAAACATCTCAAAAGGGACTCTCCCTAGTTATGGCTATAAAGGCAAGGGGGAGAAATGTATATCAGGCTTGCAAGATTATGTTAATACAACCCTACAATGAAGCAGAGTTAATAGTTCTGGGGGTACTTTTGTCTGTACTACCTTGCAAGGTTGACAAAACACAACTTCATGAGTGGCATTGATTGCCAATGATGAGGGATGTGGTCAGTTACAAAATACCTATTTTTCAAAAGATAATCTGGTGAGATTAATCTTCCACACATTGCTTGGTGTGTGTGTGTGTATATATATATATATCACAAGAACTTGGGATAACAGCTCACAATATTATATACGCTAACTGCCTCTGTGTCTACGTGGTAGTCTAGAGGCAGTCCTGGAAATAAAGATACTGCAGGCTAATACTTTTCTTTGAATTATTTATAGTTTATTTCTATTCTATTTATTTCTATTGTAAAGCAAGATAAATCAGTTAGGAAGGCTGGTGGAGATCGCAGTATGATTATTGGCCTTGTACTCCTTATTCTACTAACTGGAATATTCTCAAAAAGAAACATTTTAATGTTGAATAAATTGTCTGATGCAATGCAGATCATGATCAATGTGAAAACCAATGTATTGGGAGTCCAAAATAAGTATATTTGACAGGGAAAATGAAGTGAATGATTGCAAATTATACATAAATATGTAAAATTGCAGCAAATAGGTAAATTGGTGGAATATTTACCATAGATTGAAAAATCAACAGGCAACATATATAATTGTACATTTGTTATATTTTAGTTGCATGGTCCATGAAGAGGTACAGTATAACTTTTCAAAGATAAATTATGAGAGGGTAACCTGCATCCAGTTTTTAATTTTCTTACAGGCTTTTCCACAGATATTTATCATTCTTTCCTTTTTGTCTATTATGGCAATAATCAAATACACACATATTTTATTAAAGATATTGTAGTTATAAAAGCTAATGTAAACTAAGCTCAGAAAGTAAAAAGAGAGTAAAATGCAAAGGACATTTTTAGTAGTGAAATAAAGAAAAAGAAAAGAAATACACAAAAAAGTTACTTTCATCTTCATCACAACAAATATAAACAAGTTTGTTAACTCTTCACTTTCTATAAGGTTAAAAATAGGCATTACTTCCCATATCTCATTGTTTATCTGTAAGCAAATCCATAACATTTCAATTTGAAGCCAGCAAAAACTCTACAAAGGATTGCTGGAATTGCATTAAAATGTGTCTGATTTTAGCCTTGATTAACCTCTATCAACTTGATCAATATAAACCAACTTAAATTATTTCCTTTTATTTCTGAAAATTTTAATCTTTAATTTATTCAAATAATGTTAAAGGATTTGATTTCTCCTCAATTCTTTGTCCCATTCTTGTCCCTTCTTCTTTGAGGCTTTTTTCAGGCTTTTACAAGTTTCTTTCTTAAATCCAATAAAAAAGAGATTATTCAGATCATTTTCTTAGTTTATCATTTGTACTGTATTTCCCCTTTAATTTGTAAAACTTTAATCATCTTCTTTTGTATATCCAATAAAGTTTCCTTGTCTTGGTTGTTCTCTTGGTCTGTCACTTTGTATTTCCACTTAAAACCTTGTTTGTCTTTTAATCCACACTTTTAAAAAAATCAAATATTTATGAATCTACTAGTTTTGCATCAAGCAAGATTTGTTTCATGTCTGTCATTCCTTCATTAATATCCTTTAGGCAAATCCTATCCATAGAAACAGACATTGTTAATGATATTGTGGCTACTTATTCCTGCCCCCATTCTTTGAAGACCTTTAATATTTCAAATGTTACAGAGTTTGATATCATTTTGTAAATTTCAATCCTAATCGAAACCAAACGCAATTTGTTTTCTTTTTGCCTGAAATCTTTAGTCCCCTTGAGTGTCCAATTTAAATCAGAAAGTCTGTTTTGACTTAGAGTGGATAAAATAATTTTGGTTCCCAAGAAAAGTTGTTTAATTTATATAGTTCCAAAATCTTATAATAAAAGATTCAACATTCCAAACTTATCTGGACCTTTAATTTGTTTATAACTCTCTTGGTTCAAAAACACACTTAGCTTTTGGCAATTTATTTCAAATTCTTTAAATGCTTAAACTTATAATTTATTTTTCTTTTGTTCAAAAATGAAGATAGGTAGTTTTTTGAATTTGTCATTCCAAAGATTTCTAATAGCTTTAAGATGGTTAGATGATTAACTGCATTTAATCTGAAAGTGATTAAAAGTAAGATGAGCAACCTAGTGTCCTTTAAAAACTCCTGTTGCCGTTGTGAGCTTGATTGATCCCTTTATGTTGGGGCACTCAAATTGAGGAAAACAGCTATCCTGTGATGTCCTCATAAGAAGCAGCTATCTAGAGCACATGTGGATGATCTTCCATCCTCTCCTCTCCTCTCCAGGGACATTTCAAAGAACCAGTGTAGTCATTTGTTTTTCATTCTTTGGGTCTTTTCTTGTCTTTCCTCTCCAGTTAAGTCCTCCAGTAATGATAGGTTACTTTATTTTGCCATGGCTACTGTGAAAAGGCAATTGCTAAAAGGGCCATTCAGGCCTTGAATATAATAAAAAATGTTGTGGCAATCACAGAATTCCATGATTGATCAACTAAGATACTTATCATCTAATACACTTGGTATGGTGTATTAGTTGATGAAAATGACTCAATTATTAGAAAGCATTTATATGACAAAAATAATTATGCAATTTCTTGAACAGAGCAATGCATCAGTGTAAACACAGAATAGAATGAAAGTAAACTGCTCCCAGTATCATTTCTTATATTATTTTGTTACTGTAAATTAGGTTTAAGATGGCTGTAGAATACTTCTAGGTATGATTCCTAGAAAATGTTTCAGGGCACGTGGGTGTGCAAATATAGGACTTGTTTGGAGTTCTTTTAAAATGTAGCTGCTTTTTAAAAATTGTGCAATCATGCTCCAAGCACATTTTTGACATCAAATCAAAAGCATTGCATAGCTCTAATGATTTCCCTAACAGCATAAAGCATCTGAAGAAGAAACACCTCTTTGATATGCCTGTTTTAGGCAGTCTTTTAAAAATTTATCGTGTTTATTAAATGGAAGCTCCTCAAAAATTCCTATACTGTATTTTAACACAACAAGTGAATATTTTTATCTGATTTCATCGGTTCTATTGAACTATTGAGTGCAAACACATTTTTCCTGGTGAAATTCAGCTCCATGCTTCCACCCAGTGGGGTTTTCTTGATAAAAATTGAAGTACATTTTTAACAGGAGTAAGATGAAGTAATTTTTTCCCGCTGCATTGGGGTAAATAGTGTTACATTTATACTATTTTTATGAAGTGTTACTATAATTAAATTAAATAACTATCTAGTAATGCCTTTAGTCATTTTACATCGCAACAAGTGAATCTTATAATAAAAGATTCAATATTCCAAACTTATCTGGACCTTAATTTGTTTATAACTCTCTTGGTTCAAAAATACACTTAGCTTTTGGTACTCACAATACATAAACCATGTATTTGGCAGTAACAGTAGAAATTACAACCCTTACAGTACAAATTTACAGACCAACATGTCAACTCAGCCAATCCATATTACATACTATAGCCAGTGAATATTGAAACATTCCACGGGTTTATAAAAAGCCTACAAAAATAGGTAGTTGTTGTATTGTATAGATATAGTATGCTGATGGACTGGGCTAATCTTCTGATTTATTTGTACTTTTATATTGCATGTTAGTATAGAAGTTAGCACCCACCCCTCGTAGAAGAATGAAATATTTTAGGAAATATTAAAAAGGCAGAATATTATATTTTCCCTAAAGGATAAACATATTGCTAAAGACAGAAATTCAGAACCACAGTTCCCTGCCCCCAAGCAGATACTTAGCTGAGGCCAGCTTTTAGAAATGCAGATTTGGTAATCCATTCAAGACAGGATATTTTGAACAAAGGTAGAATGGTAGGATTAGCCCTCACTCAAGACCCAAACCAGGACAAGGCCATTAAGACACAATAGGAATTGCCCACAGAATACAAGCCTCTTCATTACATTATCACCCTTCAAGTTTCAACCAAACTTAACTCGGACAACCTCAGCTATGACTCCTGCATAGCCCATAGGAGTCTGACAGCAACCAGTAGAATACATGCTTTTGCCACAGGAACAGGAAGCTCAAGTTCAAAGCCCAAGAGAGGATATAAACAACTCTCTCTCTACTTCATGTGGTCAGCTGCCCAGGACCTCAAACCCATGTGGTCCTGTCAATCAATAAACCATCTTTCCAATCAGCCTCCATGTTTCCTTTCTCCCCACTTGGAACTGAATCAGATGGATATTTCTTCCAACATTAGTGAAGATAGCAAACAGATAAAAACATATCTCTGAATCTTTTTAAATTAGGTGAAATAAAGCAAGCTTGGCCTAGGAAGGAAGGGATTGTTGTGTAAAAGGGCTTTGGGCTCTAGGTAAAATTCTTGGCTCAGAATTTATAGACACATTCTGTTGTTTCATCCTAAGCGTGTGTATGCTGTACCTGGTTTTGTTTACGTGATTTAACAACTGGACACTGTTGATTCCTGCATAGATGTCCCATAATAAAAGATGGATTAATTTCTTGAAATGCTTGTATAGTTATATTGCAATAGTTGAAGCATTGCTTCCAAATGCAAATATTTTTTGTTCTCTTATTATTCAGAGGCAATAAACAAAAAGAAATTAAGCAAATGTATTATTACTCAGAATGTTCCACCTAAAGAACTTTTTATTTTATATTTACTTATTCATATCCCAACACTGTCATTTTTATAAATAACTCAAGGCAGCAAACATGTAGTCAGTAAATAACTCAAGGCAACAAACAGGTAGTCAGTGACTAACAACCACAATTGGGCCCAGAACATCTGTTACTGAAACAGTCATTAAATGAGTTGCACCCAATTTTACAATCATTTTTGCCATGGTTAACTGTATCACAGTTAAGTAAATCCACCTTCTCCCATTGACTTTGTCATAAATTGGCTAAGAAAGTTGCAAATAATGATCACGTGATCTCAGGATGCTGCTGCCATTGTAAATATATGCCAATTGACAAGTGCCTGAATTTTCATGAGGTGATCCTGGGGATGCTGTGATGGTTGTAAGCACAAGGTCTGGTCATAATTTTTTTCAGTGCCATTGTAAATTAGAATGGTCATTAAATGAATGGTTCTAAGTTAAGACTATCTGTATCTAATACTGCTTCCTCCTATTTGCCACAACTAGACTGTGAGGTGATTGGGTTGAGAGAGACTGACTAGCCACCTAACTAGCTTTCATGCCCAAGGCAGGACTAGAACCTAGAACTCACAGTCTCCTGGTTTCTAGCCTGGTGTCTTAACCACTAAATCAAGCTGCTTCTGCAAGTCCAAGAACATAGGGCCTTACTTCATACATGCTATATTTGTTCATGTTAAGTTGTTATATTTTAGATTTAGCACTGTTATACTGACTTAGATCGTGAGAAAAACTGTTGTCAAAGCAGAACATCAGAATGCTAGATGTGATGGGTACGTTAACATAGGATTACCTATGTTAACGTACCGTACTATCACATCTAGCATCTAGATTACTAGTCGATATATACTTCATCTCACTGGACAGCATTCTGCGAGTCTGTTTTCCAAAGCCATGTGAGGCAACTGTAGCTGAAACCTATCATTCTATATCCTATATAGAATGATATCCCTATATCCCATCATGGCATATAGCATACTGTGCTATTTATAGAGACTAAAGTGAAATGAATGACTTGTCTAAAGAAAATCTGAGAGAATTAGAGAGAGTAAGATGATGTTTCCTTTTGGTTTTGGATATACTTCCAATTCAGAATAGGAAAGCTCTGGTGCTAGAACAAGTGTGGATGATGAACAGCCCTGCACCTGGTAGTAACTTCCTTCTAGTGCAAAGGGATGGGGAAAAATTGCAATCACAGCTCTAGCTTCTTCCTATCTATGGAAACAGTAAGGGTGTACTTTTCACACATGGCTTCTCAATTTTGGCTTTTTGTAAAAACATGATCTAGTGCAATACACGGGTGTCAAACTCGTGGCGTCATGTTGCCATATTGCGACGTTTTACCCTTTTGTGGAGCTGGGGTGTGCGTGGCCTGCACCTGATGCATCTGGCCTGCAGGCCGCCTGTTTTGACACCTCTGGTGTAATATATCATGAGCTGTTGGTGTTCATCTGGGGTTGTATTTACCTACTTTTAAGAACTGCTAAGGACCAGATGATTTTTACTATGTCCTCATACATAAAGCCATGGAACTCAGAGGCTTTCTTTTTCACATGACTGTATGTTAAATTATTGCAATTCATTACAGAATTCTTGAGCAAAATATTAGAAAAATGCCTCAGCTAGTACTGTGGATTGCTTATGAAATATTTAATAGTATTGACCTACTAGTATGCAGGCATCTGGTTGCTAACGGTACTACTAAACTATTTATTATAATTTTCAGTGTTGAATGTTATCTATACCTAGATATACATTGCATACACAAAATTTTCCTACCCTGTTCCAACTAGATCCCATTAATCCCATATATTCTTATGTTTTTTTAAAAATAATTCTATTATATTTCTGTAAGCAATTTTTCTCTAAATACATTTATATGCTCAGGTTTATCATAGTAATAATTACACTATATTTGGCAAACATTTACAAACTCTATTTCTGTATTTTATCAAGTTATGCCAAGAACACTTTGTTCATAGTCAGTTAAAGTGAATTTTTGAATGTATGTATGCAAAAGAAAACAAAGAACAGAGGAAAACTAAGTACTGCAAACTTTAAACTAAACCAAAGACCAGTTGTATTGAAAACAGCAATGCGATTCTATGCATGCCCACATAGAAACTGTGCAGGTAATCCTCAATTTACAACTACAATGAAGCCTAACATTTCTGTTAATGCCCCATTTAATGACCTTTCTTGCCACAGTTGTTAAATGAATCACTGTAAATGTTAAGGTAGTGACACAGTTAAGTGAATCTGACATCCCCATTGATTTTCCTTGTCAGATTGCAAAAGGTGATCACATGACCCTGGGACACTGCAACCATCAAAAATATGAGTCAGTTGCCAAGCATCTGAATTTTGATCATGTGATCATTGGGATGCTGCAACGGTTGTAAGTGTGAAAACCGGTCATAAGTCATTTTTTTTCAGTACTAATGTAACTCTGCAAGGTCACTAAATGAACAGTTGTATGTTGAGGGTTACCTGTATTAAGGCAAAAGGATCTGTTTTTAAGTCACAGTACAAACGCACCACATACATTCAGAAAGTTTAGCTGTATTTCTTAAAAATACAAAGAACATTTTAATATAGTCAGCCTATTCAAATTAAACTTTAAAAGTCCTTGCAAGTAGATTTCCATTTGCAAAAATATTTTCATTATAACTTAACAGACTTTAAAAAGAGCTGACACTACAAAATTTAAAGGCCATAGGGAAAAAAAGTCCATAACCAGTTCATATTATCATTTTTTTGTGTCTATAATTTAAAACAATATGACAAGTTATGCTTTTTCCTCAATTTTTTGAAGTAAATATTCCATTTGTAAATTTAGATTTGGTTGTCCTTTTCTAGTCCTTTTACTTAATATTTTGTATGTTTCCATTTTCTTCTGTTTATAAAGTTTTTGAGCTTTCTCTCTTTCTTCTCTTCTTTTTTTGGCTGTCTGAAATAAAAGAAACTAGAATCATTAACACACGTACTTATTTCATTTCTTTAGAGTTATTTCATACTATGCATGCTGCATCAATCTTAGCAACTATATACTGTATATAACAAAAAAGAGCATACATTCTGAATGCTCTTCTCATTTTACTCACAAGACAGAGCATGCAAGTATTGACATAAGTTTCTTCTACTGATGAAACATAAACATACGCTTTTAAGACTATATAAGACATACTCAAGAGATCAACATTATTGAAATCAGTAAATAACTGCCTATATAAAACTTAAAACCAAACCAAGATATATAGCCCTAAAACCAATGACTTTATTTAAAAGTTACATACTTCTTTTTTCTCGTTTCGTTCAGTCTTTATTTTTTCATAATCCTCATTTGCTTTCTGGTTTGAAGTTTTTGCTTTAGGTTTTCTCTGAATCACATTGGTCCTGTGTTAAACAAGAATACTGGCAATTAAAATATAACTTTGGTTAAGCAGAACTATATTCTCTAAGCAGTTGGAAACTTGATTCAATGACTGAAAACTGTGGAATGGATGAATGGCAAAGATCTTTAGATTATTATTTTTGTTAACAGCACTAGAAATAATTTTATCATTGGTCTCTGGGGAACAAATGGTGAAGTAAAAATGGCTTGCTAAAAGCAGAGCTAATGATTGTAGAATGAAGAGCCGGCAAATAGACTGGCTCTTTATAATATCTCTTGGGAGCATGAGATTGCTCAAGAGTACTCTAGGCAATTGCTTTTTGCAAGGAAACCAAAGACACCAGTCTGTAGCAGGTATCCATGGGTGATGAGGGAATCTTGCTCAAACCACGGTTGATACCTTTTAAAAGGTCACTGGCTTTACATACTTCCTTTTCTAATCACTTTCACAAATTGTTAACTGCTTTTCAATTATTAGGAACTTTTGGATCAACAAATCTGGGTGAATTTTCTCCAAGTCTTAGCACTGGAAGTTTTAAATATAAGTTAAATGACTTTTTTTCAATAAACAGCAAAGAAATGATTATAACTTTGATTTTGGAAAGTTACAAATAGACTAAGGGTCCAGATAAACTTGAAATAAGATTTTGGAATTACTTATACAAATCCTCTGTGGAAAATATTTTTGTTTTAAATTCTTTAAAAACAATAGAATGGAATATACTCTAGAAGGATTGTATTAAAGAACAATTATAAATTCAGAATGAAAAAGATTGCTAGGAAATATAAAGTTGATTATTTGAGCAAGATTAAAATAGCTGTTGTTCTACCAACCCTTAATAGACTTTTGCTGAAATCAGAACTGAATGACAAGGCTTTAAAGATTTGTTTATAGGTAAGAGATGGTATATTCGAAAATAAGATAATTTATTTTATTTTAAGAGGCGATGAGTAACTAAAATTGTTTATACTTGTGATGAAGTCATTACTTTATATATTTTTCTTTATTATATTCTTATTTTTCTTTCTTTTCTATTTATCTCTATTTGTATTTCTTTTCTGCACTTTCAATTTTGGTTTATTTTATTTTTCAGTTTGTATTATTTTTATTGTTGCAATTGTAATTTTTAATAACATTACTATAAAGAAACCATTTTACTACTAAGAACACTAGCATTCTTACTCTGAAATTACAGTCTCCTTCTCTTTAAGTATTACTGGTTTATGTTTAGGTTTCTGATGTTTCCGAAGCATTTCCTCTTCAGCTAAGTAAAGATGTTTCAGATGTTCTGGATAATCTTCAGTATACCCAACATTCTTCTGAGGATTCACATGTCTTTCCTTTTTAAGTAACTTTTTGTAGGCACGTTGAATCTTTTGTTTTCTCCAAATGGCAAAGCCTTGACCTAAAAGTATAGGACAAAAAGATTACTTATTTTTAATGAATGTATTTCTTTTATAACATGTACTCACCAATCTGATATTTAAAACTGAAATTCTATTACTATACCAATCTGTATCTATAGTGATTAATTGGTTACAAAGTGTACACCTTGAGATGGGACAAGATTCAAGGATTCATATTACGATACCCCTTTATCTGTTCCATCTGTAAATTCAATGTGAGTTGAAGCTCTAACAAATAGAGCTTTAGCTAAGTCAGCAGTCCCAAAATTTCTGGCTCTGCAGACTGGCAGTGGCAGGCAGGGGGAAGGGGATGGTTTTGCTTGCCACTTGTGCAAATGGAGCTTTGTGCACTTGTCCACCTCTTGTGCGGCTCAGTACTCAACAGGCTGCGGACTGGGGGTTGGGGACTCCTGGCTAAGTTATATATATATATAAAAACTGCTAGTCATATGAAAAAGTAAAGCCCATGTAAAGTTTTTCCTTTAACATATGATAATCAAATCATATTTATTCAAATAGAATATAACTGTCTTCCTCTGTGGCTGTTCTTTCCCTCATTAATTTCCTCATCAGTAAAGTGATTTTTTTTAATGTAATAGGGATTCTTTGCATGTGTGTGTGTGTGTGAGCGCACATACACTCAGAATTATCTATTTTATGTAACCTTGTGGTTCTTGCTCTTTCTTGGGATGCAAGACATCACCAAATCACTGTAATAGGCAGCGGTGGGTTTCAATTTTTTTTACTACTGGTTCTGTGGGCGTGGCATGGCTTGGTGGGCATGGCAGGGGAAGGCTACTGTAAAATCTCCATTCCCACCCCACTCCAGGGGAAGGTTACTGCAAAATCCCCATTTCCTCTCAATCAGCTGGGACTCGGGAGGCAGAGAATAGATGGGGGCCTGGCCAGTCAGCATTTTTACTACCGGTTCTCTGAACTGCTCAAAATTTCCGCTACCGGTTCTCCAGAACTGGTCAGAACCTGCTGAAACCCACTTCTGGTAATAGGTTAGTCTTGTATTAATAAAACGATCTCCCAACTATTGATATTACTTTTTTGCCACAATAATAAAAATACAGAAGCGATATATTCTCTTCCAGGTTAGGCGTCCTTAATTTCAGTCTGGCCCGTTTCTGCTTTCTTTTGAGACCAGTCAAGATCGGCTACCTTTGTTACCTAGCTTGGCGCCACGGAAAAAAGTAAGAGAGCAAGAGACCACACTGCAGAGAAACCATAACATCTTTTCCCCTTTGGCTCGCCCAGCGCGGCGAAGTCCATACCCTCCTGGAGGCTTCCCCTAAACGGACGCGCGTCCCATCGCCGGGGCTGCTTCCGACTCAGACCAGCCGGATCTTTTTCTTTTCCTCCTTTGCTATTGAAGCTTTGAGTCGCTCTATTCTTCCCAACTGGCGCCATCATGCAATCTATTCGATTTTGTCGCACGTTGCGTATGTCATCAATAGGTGTCACCGTCGTCTTTTCAGCCTCAGGGGTATCCGATTGGGAACAACGTAGATATGGCTTCGCTCGGCACTTGATTCACTTTGCCTGGGAAGAAAGGTGGGGGGGGAAAGGAGGAGGCGAAAACCAGCCCCATCGATGCTTGAGCTATCGGTACTCCATCCCAGCGTTTTCTCTTCGGTGATTGGCTCGCCGTTTCTGTGCGGGGCTCACCATGTCGAGGTGTCCTCGGGAGCCCTCGCCGGCCGCCTCCCGAGAGAATCACCCTTTGCCTCCGGAGCCTTCCGCGGAGACAGTAACCGAGCGACTACGGGCAGTCGCAGAGTTCCTCCGGTGGGGACTTCCGCTGTGTCAGATCCACACGGTGGAGTTCTACACCAGGGGGCTCTGGGAGAAGTTCGTAGCTCTCCCTCCCGAGACGGTGCTGGGCGCGCTAAGCGGAGACAGGTTGCAGCATCTCCTCCTGGAAGAGCCGACTCCGCAGCGCCCCTTAGAGGACGTCGCCGGTAAGAGCCACCATCTGGAAAGGCCGCCGACGCTGGCTTTTCAGCTCTTCGAGTAGAACTCTGCCCTCTCCAGCCTCTTGCCGACTGTTGCCGCCAACTTCATCGTTTCTTTCTTCGCCGTCTGGAATCAGGATGTGCTTGCTCGGTCGACGAAGATTGGATGAAAATGTTACTGCTGTCACAACGTTCATCCTTTAGTGCAGTATTTTTCAACCTTGGCAACTTTAAAAGGCGGGCCTGAATTGCCCTCGTTGCCCAGGTTGAACAAGATTGCTTTGGCGAACTCGGGAGATTCCCTGGGCAATCTATCTCCCCCCCCCACCATCCTTTTCCTCCCTCTTCCTCAGCCCTTAGACCTGCTTAGTTTCAGAATGCCCTCAGTAATAATTCATACAGTTCCTTTTCCTCAACCCAGAGTGCATTACAAGCTATTCGCATAATACATTGAATAGAATAAGAATAAGAATAAGGACTAGACGAATAGAATAGAATAGAATAGAATAGAATAGAATAGAATAGAATAGAATAGAATAGAATAGAATAGAATAGAATAGAATAATAGGATAGAATAGAATTGAGTAGAGTAGAATAGAATAGAATAGAATAGAATAGAATAGAATAGAATAGAATAGAATAGAATTCTTTATTGGCCAAGTGTGATTGGACACACAAGGAATTTGTCTTTGGTGTATATGCTCTCAGTGTACATAAGGAGAATAAAATACATTCATCAAAAATAAAAAGATATTTTTATTTCACTTGGTGATGGTCAAGATTACTAATACGCTATCAAATCATACTAGGAGACAAATAAAAACAATATAAATTGAAAGATACAAGCAACGTGGTTATAGTAATAAGTGGGAAGAGATAGATACTAGTAAGGAAGAGAAGAATAATAGTAATACAGTATTAGTACATTATTTGATAGTGTTGTGGGAATTAATTGTTAAGCAGAGTGATTACATTCGGGGAAAAACTGTCCTTGGTGTGCAGTGCCCTATAGTGTTGTTTTGAGGGTAGAAGTTGAAACAGTTTTATGTCCAGGATGTGGACATTATATGAGTAGATATTTTCACAGCCCACTTTTTGACTTGTGCAGTATACAGGTCCTCAATGGAAGGCAGGTTGGTAGCAATTGTTTTTTCTGCTGAAAAACGACGCTTTCTGAGGCAGACTTATGGGCACTGTTGGAGGAAATCTTTGGGCCAGTCGCTTGTTCTCAGTCCTACCCATCTCAGATGATTATGGTTGTCGGGAAAATAGGAGGAATCAGCTTTATGTGTCTTGTCTTGAGATGAAAAAAAAAATAAAGGGAATACATAAATTAATACACATAAATAAGAGCTAATACTTCATGATACTCTCTCTGCTTTATTTAGCGTATTAGTATTGTTTGCAGTTCAGGAACTGATCTTCGGCTCTTCCAAGCTTCTGGAAAGTATTTTAGGTTTTAAATATTACTGAGATAGTTTGATTTCTCTTTGAATGGTATTGATAATTTTATCTAATTGATTTATGTTAATTGTTGAAGCCAACACTTTTTTCTCTTTTTACAGCTGAAAAATAAAACATTTCCACATCATTAAGAGATTATTATCAGTATGGTTCCTAGATTAGATTTCAGTTTTAGTCTAGAAGGTGTTATAGATAGTAGGTTTCTGTTGTGTGTTGAATCCAAAAGGAAAAATGGGTTTGGTTTAATTGCAGATTAAGAACAGATGCTTTAAATTAGCCTATTTCGGGTACCTTGATTAAAAAGTTTTGCTTTGAGATACCCTGTTTCATCCATTATTATAAACTCTTTCCTGTTCTTTCCACACAGATAACTCTGGATTTTACAACATTTTTTGTAAAAATACTCAGAGGCTGATTAATATCCAGGCTTTTGTATTAGCTGCTAAATATTATTCAATGCCAAATCTTGGAGTATGCACCTCATTAGAACAGATACTCGAAGCAATGGACAGAAAACAGCAATCCAGTAAGTTAATGTTATATTGTTTTTAATATCTGCAAAACTTTTTCTTTAAAATTCAGTTATTAGGAGCCATGGTGGCATAGTGGTTAGAATGCACTTTTGCAGGCTAATTCTGCCAATTGTCAGCAATTCAAACCTCATTGGGTCAAGGTTGACTCGACCTTTCATCCTTCTGAGGTCGGTAAAATGAGGACAGAGATTGTTGGACGCAATATGTTGACTCTTCCAAATCAAATCCTGCCTTAGCCATGAGAGTGAGTTGAGTGACTTTGGGCCAGTCATTCTCTCTCAGCCCAACCCACCTCACAGGGTTGTTGTGGAGAAAATAGGAGGAGGAAGGAGTATTAAGTCTTTTTGCCACCATGAGTTATTCTTTTCAATTTCAAATCTTTATTGTCAGTGCACAACATATGTACAATGAGATTGGTTGAGCTCCCTCAATCAAACAGACAGACAGAATAAGAGCTGTTTCTGAATCCCATGGATTTTCAGCTTGTGGTTTCCATGTGAAGTAGTTTTAATGCCTGATTAAAGAAACAGTTTTCCTTATTTTGGAAAGAATTTCCTTTTCCCAAAAATATTCAATATTCCCTGAATATTCTTGCTCTAAGCAAGTACAGAAATATTTTGCATATACTTCAAATGGGAGGGAACAATCTCAGCACTTGGATCATTCTGTTTCTTTTGCCTCTGTTTTCTTCCTGGCTCTCCAATGACCTTCCCTTACATAGGACAAAAGGAACAATATGGTATTTATATGAGTTGACATCTGTTTGATTGTTCTAGTATATAAAGGCAAATCAAGCGATGATATGTAATTTTATCTCTGGATTGGCTCACAAATAGATTTTAAACATGACATTTGTGAGCCTGCATTATTATTTAAGATCTTTGGAAACTTTTGTCAGAAAGTCAGAATCAGAAACCATTGCATAGCAAATATATTGTAATATTGGTTCAGAGCATTTTTACTTACCAGTATTTATTGGAGCATAGCCATAGTTTGTAAATAAGGTGCACATATAACAATATTTTAGTAATATATGTTTCCCCAAACTCTTAAGCTAAATGTGTATTTCTTTTTGATCAGAGGTAGAAATGAAAACAGATAATTTTATGAATGATAAGAAATCACATGAAGTAAAACTGATGTCCGATTTAGTAGATGGCATTGCAAAATATTATGGCTTAAACCAGGTAAGAATTTTTATTTCTTTATCCCTTTGGGATTGGGTTGAATTCCTTTCAAAGGCTTGGATGTGCGAGAGGAGATGCTATTGCCTGTTGAGGAAGATTATAATATCAAATTAGACTTTGTTCTAGGTTTGCTTTTCTCCATTTAAGAAGCCCAATTAAAGAGTCAGAAGCTAGAAATGGGATATGTTTTTATTAAATGTGAATTGAATTTAAATTAAACTAAAGAAAATTATATTTGGCTTAATTTTCTGTGGTTATGAAGGAAGTTAAGATAAAGAGTAAATATAAGTGTGTTTCTATGTATAGGCTGTCTTCATTTAACAACCACAGTTGGAGCCAGCAGCTTGGTCATTCAGCAGTGTGGTTGCTAATTGAAACCATGACTGTGTGGATGATCTTGCTTCAGCTTTCCTTTGCGTTATAGACCTGCAAAGGTTATAAATGTGAAGATTGATATCAAAGTACCTTTTTCATCATTGTCATAACTGAATGATCACTGTCTGAGGCAGTCACAATTTCTTTAATTTTACTAATTACTGTTTTTGTTTTAATAAACTGTGAAGGGCATCTTTATATTAGATTTTTTTTAGTCCTTCTTATAAGAATATGCCAAATGTAAACAGCTTTGATCTGTAAAATGAAGTACACTGTTTATAGCAATAGTAATCTTAAGGGTGCTTTCTAAAAGTTTCTAATTCAGCAAAAGAATTTATACTATCCTTAGCTTTATCTTTCTACTCAGACTGTACAATGGTATATGATTAGATGATAAAAATTAAACCTCATACAATAGCACTATTTTGCTTTTCTGATTTCTGTGTGAAAGATGACTGTAATCATCTTTAGCACAATTGGGTAGGTCTGAAATGCACCATAATCCAATCAACTGATGAGGAAAAACCTTGATAAAAATAATGTTTCATTCTTCTTGTGCATATGCTCTACTGAACATATTTCAAATCACATTTAAGAATATCAGCCGAAACCCCAGTTAAAATACGCTTCAAATACAATAGAATATATTTAGGATGTAAGAAAGGTTTGTTAAATCAAAACCATCTTTACCAAGTGGCAAAAAAACCCTCCCTAGAATAAGATCCATTGGGGCTTTACTAGTAAAGTATTTCATAATACAGATAGTCCTCGACTTACAACAGTTCATTTAGTGACCGTTCGAAGTTACAATGGCATTGAAAAAAATAAATTATGACAATTTTTCATATTTACGACCATTTCAGCATGCCATGGTCACATGATCAAAATTCAGACATTTGGCAACTGATTTGTTTTTATGATGGTTGCATTGTCCCAGTGTCATAAGATTTCCTTTTTGCAACTTTTTGACAAACAAAGTCAATGGGGAAGCCAGATTCACTTAACAACCTTATTACCAATTTAACTACTGCAATGATTTGCTTAACAAACA